CTTTGCAAAACGGTATAACTGTGGTTAAATCGAGTTGGGGTCCTTCACAGTGGGTTTGGTTTTCTTTCTTTCTTTCTTTCTTTCTTTCTTTCTTTCTTTCTTTCTTTCTCCTTTTCCCTTCAGTGACAGAAATAAAGTTTGCTTCCAGTTCCTAGACTTTAGTGGTCTGTACCCCATTATTTGTGTGCCCTTGGGACCCAGCACAGACCACTCCTGTGATGGGTGTGGTGAGTCCCCTCCAGGCTTTACAGCAAGCAGGAAAATGGGCCCATGAAGAGACAAGAATAAAACCTGGCTCAGCCCAATTTCACTGCAACTGTTGCTGGACCAGAACCTCTAGGGTCTGACCCAGATCATTTCACTTTACCCGTACTTAAGCACAGCATAATTTTGAAAAAAGTATCCAGATAAAAATTAACTTAGTCCCAGGTGGGCAACAATTTAAGACATGTTTACAATGAGATTCTTTACAAAGTACAGCTGGCTTCTTTCACAAGATTAGGAACAGTTGACTCAGGGATGGTACCCAAGATTTAGGATCCAGGGAGCTTGTCTCAGGTAAACACAATGCCTGGGGTGTCAGGATCATCCTGGCCCTAAGATAACAGAACTCACTTAAGCTGTTGGAAAGCACCCATAATCTCACTCAAAGAGCGGCTTTTATGGCCCTAAAGCATTGCTCAAGATTTAGGGTTAAAGGTCTTGGATCAGTAAAAACAAATTCTGGGAGATAAAACAGTCTGTCTCATCAGACAGCAAAGGATTGCCAGGCTGTGAAACGACCTCATTCCTAGCCTTCTGGGAAGAGGAGCTGTACAGCTTGCATTGAAGAGGCAGCTGTATGTTTAACTCTCTGGGCTTCTCCAGGGCTTCGCTGTCTGCACAAGGCCGTTCACCAGCAGGCTGCTCACCAGCAGGCTGCTCACCAGCAGGCTGCTCAAGGGAGATGTTTGTCCCTATTACACCTAGACCAGCTTCTAAAACACCTGCCTCCTCTGCTGGCGATCAAACCAGAGATTACTGTCCACACTGGCCAGAGACTTAGGGAGACATGATGCAGAGTAAGGAAGTTCTACCTTGCATGCAAAATGACCAATCTTATATTGTAATTAATGACCCATGGCACCCCAGATGGGAGATGGGAGTCATTGGTAAACTTTACTACAGTGTTTATCACAGCCGCCATCAGGCACATCACAATAAAGGGTTTGCACCCTACTCTCTCAGGCCCTAGGATTAGACAGGTAGAAGTGTCCAAAGCTCCTCAACAGTACTCATGTCCCAGTAGCACCCCTTTTTGACAACACTAATCCCACCTTCCTGTCACACTTCATGTTTCAGACCTTAACCTCTGAGTATCAGCTATTGAACAATGCTCTGCCTGACTGCTTTGGAGATTGCTGGTTGTGTCTCGGGGGGACATTTGTGGCCTTGCCCATTGTCTTATTAGACTCTTTCATCTTTTGTTAATTGCTCTAAGCCAAATATCAGTACCACCCCTCATCTCTCCCACATCTCTCTCAGTACCAGACTGCTTTAACCCCCAGGAACACACGCTGCAGACACCCTGGATTCCCAGCCCCCATGCCCAAACATTCACAGCGCCTGTTTCTCTATGACACTGAAATTTATCTCTGTCTTCCTGCTGGGTGGTCTGGGACTTGTGCCCTAGTGTTCCTTTTTTCCAAAGTTCTGGGTGGTACCTGGTGGAAAATGCTTGCTGATTCCCATCTCAGTGTTTATAGCCGCATGCTACCCTCTCTAGCATCCTGGGTACAACCACTGCTGTCACCAACAGAGCAGTGGGGCTGATTATTCCCCTAGCTATTTCCCATCCGTTTTCTTCTCAGTTCGTCCAGCATCTCCAGTGGGTTGCACAGACCATCCTTATGCTCCAGGGCCAAATAGACTTGCTGGCTGCCACAGGCTACTAGGCCAGCAAGGATGAGAGTTACTAACTGCAGAGAGAGGTAGGCTTTGCTTCTTCCTCAGGGAGGAATGGTGCTATGGTTCTATGTCAACCAGTCAGATATAGTAAAAGACAAGATTGGACAGCTCTAGACAGATCTCCAAAAACATAAGGAACATCTCGATGCCTCTGACTGGTGGCTCACTGACAGCCCAGTTTAGAACTGGATCCCTTCCTTCTTAACCCCCTTCTCCTCCTTTTCCTAATCCTACTAATTGCACCCTGTCTTATATTATAAACTTCTTGTCTAGATTTCCTCAACAACAGATCCTAAAGACTCTAAGCAGACATTTAATCCCACTATTACAGGGTTACTGACTCACCAGATTGTACCTTCCCAGTGAAGATCAAGCTTGCCCCAAGGACTTCAATGTCACCATTTGGTGCGGGAGAAT